GGCGCCCCCCCTCCCCTCCCCTCCCCTCCCCTCCCCTCCCCTCTCCGCCTCATATCCACGCAATGCTCCCAGTCGAGCCAACTGAACGACGTGGTCAACATGCCCGACGCTACGCTCGGATGCACCCCGCTGCACTGGGCGGCGATGCTGAACCGGGTCGATTTCATGCTCTTGCTACTTGATCACGGGGCCGACGTCGATAGCCGGGACTTCGCGGGCCGTACGCCATTGTTTTGTTGCGCTGCCTTCGGTGGGGTCGAAGCCGCTGCCCTCCTGCTAGAAAGGAACGCTGACGAAAATGCGAAAGATTCCAGAGGTAAGCAAGAGCTGTGTTGGCCGGTCCTGCGTTTGGAAGCGAGACTTCACTTCAATACCCGACGTAACCACCAAACTTGTCTTTGCTGAGCCTGTTACCCACCGAGCAGGAGAAACACAGGTAGGTTATATTCCACAATGCCTTCATTGCTACTGTATTAGTAATTATCCTGGTCTCTCTGGATAGAGACGGGTCTACATGTAGACAATAGTCCAAGAACCGCATTCATGACACACGACATCACGGATGGATTCTCCCCAATGTTGTGTCGTTGACCCAGTAGAGAACTACAGGGGGTATACAATGTAGGTTACGTATACAGATGTTTTTGTACTTAGCACCAGCTGGTATCACTGATATAAATCATCAGTGTGTAGTCTTAAAACAGACTCGAAATAGATCCAGTACCCAGCCGGTTTTCCTTCGCTCACTGAAAAGACTCAACACATCCCGTTCGTGTGGGTATATCTCGAACGGGTAGTGTTTCTGCGTTCGTATTTTTAATTTCGGAAGAACAGCATTCACGGTTGTTGGAAGAGGAAAATGCTGTCATTCAAGCTTTACAAACGGTATCTACTGGCATCTCGTGTAGCGTCTGGTCTTGCCCCCCCAAGTATTTCCCTGGATCCTCTTCTCAACTGCCATCATCTTTTTATATTTACACGCGGCGTGTCCATTATTTGTTCAACAGCCGAGTACACATGTGTACAGCTGCACAGAAAAAGCAACTCAACAATCACAAGCCTTCCTCCTTGAATATCGGCTGCTGTCATATATGTAAGCAGTTCAGTCGACGCGTTTGAGCACAGAGATGATACGTACAACGCGCGTCTCCTCAGTCCCGATCGGGTAGGTGCAAGTATCGCCTCGGTCACAATTCGCTTGGTCTCAGCTGTATGACCCCGATTCCTGCGACAGGTAAAAACGGCGAACGGCAGCAAAAGTGAAGAAAGAAGTTGATGGATAAAAAACAACCCAGATACCCCGCACTCCAGAAACCTCGCCAATGTGACACTCACTTTTCTCACGTTCCCGCCCCCCCACCCCCCTCCTCCAGGCCTTACCCCGCTCCACGCCGCTGCTGCCGGGGGACACCTAGAAGTGGCCGACGAGCTCATCTCTGCCGGGGCAGATGTCCGAAGGCAAGCATTCGTTGGATCCATGCCGAGGCACGTGGCCGAAAGGGAGGGTCATGCGTCTATGGTGGAACTCCTTGTCAACGCCGCTCGGTCTTTGGAAGGAGGTGGGTTCTTCGAAAGTGTGTCGGAAACAGGAGGGAAGGACGGGTGGTATTTTGGTGGTGCGGGATAGACCAATGTGGTGTGATGCGTAGAGCGGAGGAGCATTGATCCTATGCAGTGCACATCGGAGTGTCCAGCACCAAACACCCCAAAACCAAATGCAATGCACGCCATATTGTAGCACTGTGAGCTTATAGTCTAGTGGTGAAGAGATCCCTCCTACCAAAGCCGGCTATCTTACTCGGCGCTCTTACGTGGATTATTCTGATAAGCCTGCCTGGATTCGAAACAGAGCGTTGCCGTGCTCCGGTCCCTCACCCTTGGCTTGCCTGGCTCTCGAGCGCAGTGAATCCACTAGAATCGTGACAACCGTGCGCCACGCCGTGGTAAAATCTCTGTCAGACCACTCCCCCATGCACTTAATCTTGCGTTTGCTCTCTGTACGACCACATCACAAGTATTGCTATGGATTATTTGTTCGAGCGCCGGCTATGCTAAAATTTATGGTCCTGGTCTACCAGGCCTCTTTGTTGGTTTACCTGTGAGACTTGAGGACGTTCATGCTGTCCGCGAATACTATCGGTATTGGATGGAAGAGAACTACGCTGACCATGAAGCCTCATGACACCTCCCTTACAATAATGTTCCTGCCACGAGACGAAATTCCAAGGGCATAAGTGCATGAACCCAAACCGTTCGCGCGAAATGTTAACCCCCCCCCCCCGCGCTTACTCCGCGCAACGGGGGATGATCGCACCACGTTGTGTTAAAATGGTCAAGCTTCCTCGAGGCAGTTACACAGTGCTTACAACTGTCTCTGGAAGTGAAAGCACCAGAAAATAAATTAAGTCATACGTAGCTGTCATCCGTACGCAAGGAAGTAAGCACAAGATGCCGAACACCCTTAGCAGGATGCAGCTCACCCTTCATGCGACTCGCCAAATACCTCACGGCGCTTCGCGCTTGGTGATGTGAGAGCCTGGTCCGGTGAGAACCCGGCGTGCTCCGTCCCGGCTTTGTAGGGATGCGAGGTCAATGGTCAAACGACTACGGCATGCACGACTATGAGTACACCCCCCCCCCCCGCGCTCAGGGATGGATAAAATGAGAGTACCCCCCCCCCCCCCCCCCCCGGGGGGGGCGCCCACCGGGGTGAACCCTTCCAAAGCCCT